CACGAGTAATTGCAATAATATATAATAATCATATAGTAATAAAAAAATATATAATTATATTTTATATACATTATTTATTTTTTTTAAATTTAATAATGCTAACATTTAATAAAAATATTTAATAGTATATCTACTTTTATTTGATTATTTTATTATTTAATAAATTTATTTTAATATTTATATTAATAAATAAAAAATTCAATTTTTAATTTTAACTATATTATATAAATGCATATTGATTTTGATAACAATTTAATAAAAGATCTTTCATTAAATTGTTTCAAAGCCATTGTTTCATAAAATTGCTTTTATTTTTCATAGAATGATATTTAATATATAAATAATATATAAATAATAAAATATATTAACATATTAAAATTATCTTGTATAAAATATAAAATTATTAATTAATTAATATTCTTTGAAAAAGATCAATTGGATTTACAGATGCAGTGGTTTACCATAATGATATGCTTATATGCTGGAGTAGCTAGTGCAAGAACAGAAGAAGATCAACAAACATCTTCTTCAACTTCAATTACTGGAATATCTGATGGTCTTTTAGAACATTGTTTTTATCAGCAATCTAGTGAATGTCCTGATGTCAAAATAACTGGATGTTCTTGTAAAAAAATTATTCTTGCTCATAATAATCCTGAAGGCAATGCTGTACTTTGTTGCAATTTGGATATTCAAAACTTTGAATCAGAACTTTCTTGTACAGGTTAAAAAATTGTTTAAAAAATTAAAAAATTGTTTTATTACATTAATGACAAATGAAATATTCTATATCTATATTATAATTAAATATAAATTTGGCAAATATTTAAAAATTTACTCTAAATTTTTTAAAAATATTTTTATTTATTTTATTTCAGGATTTCCATCAAATATATCATACATACATATAAGAAATGCAACATTGGATGTATTTAATGTAAGTGAAATTCGATGGAGGAGACTAAAATCACTTGCAATTACAGATGGTAGAATTAATAAAGTAAAAGGACAATTTCGAATGATGACTCCAACAATTTGTTTGAATCTTTCAAATAATGCTCTTATTGAAGTAGAGAATAATTCACTTACAAGATTAGCTCAACTCACTACTTTGGATCTATCTTATAATAATCTCACACATTTACCAGCTTTAAATACAATGAATGGTCGCGAATTTTGGCTTGATATTTCAGGTAAATAAAAATTTGTATTTTATTTCAATATTAACATTTTATGAATATTTCAAAATATAACTTTTTATATTTAGGAACAAATACACTTTGGTGTCATGATATTTATCAATACATTAATAAAACAGGAGAAAAGCAAATTAATTTTAATCATGAAAATGAAACTGTATGTTCAGCTAGTAAAACTTGGCATTGGTTTAATACGACAGAACAAGTTCCATTGAAACAAGTTCGATATCTTAGTTTGGTAATAATTTGAGAACAAAAATCATGTTTTTAGAAATATAGGTAAAACTTTAAGTAATAGTTTAAACTGATATTTATTATTTAATTGTTCTCTTTTGAATTAACAGTTACAAACAGAGTGTCCTAAAGGAGATACATGGCAGTGTCAATGTAATTTCAGAAGATTAGATATTGTTGAAGGTAAACCACCAACTTTAGCAGTAAATGTAGATTGTAGTGGAATTCAAATTACTGAATTACCTGAAAAATTACCTCGCAATACTATAGCATTGAATGTTTCATATAATAACGTACGTAAATTTTATATTTTCTTAAATTATCGAAACCAATAAAAATAATTTTAATTTAATCATTATTATTTCTTAACTCTTATTTAATGTAATTTTTAATAAAATTAAAAATATTTTTTACTATATATATTATATTATAATAATATGTTATTATTTTTATCATTGATTGTTACAGATCACTGTATTAGATGATCTAAGTACTAATCCATGTTATGAAGATATAAGAGAGTTTTATGCTGACTACAATAATATATCGTCTATAAATAAATTAGAAGGTTCTAAATTTTTGGATAATTATGCTTTTCTTAGTTTACGATATAATAAAATTAAATCTGTAAGTAAATGTAAAAAAATTTTAATAATATTCTAAATACAAGTATGTTAAAATTATGCATATTTTAAATGTGTAGCTTCCTACATATATTTTAAGTCCTAATACTCACGATAAGAGTTTCACTAGTTCGCGATTAGTAAAGCTTGGAGGAAATGAATTACATTGTGATTGTAATACAGCCAAATATTTAAAGGTAATGTTTAAAATATAATTTAAATTTGATAAATATATATTTATTTTGTGAAATTTAATTTTTTAAAATTATAATTTAGGTATGGTTACAAACTCGTATATTAGATTCCGATGAAGTATTTTGCGAAAATGTAAAAGAAAAGGTTATTGATTTAGAACCTTCAAAGATGTGTGTTTATCCTGGTGATTGGACAGATTATATTTATTATATTATTGCTACAGAAGTTATACTCTTAATAAGTCTTATAGCTAAAGTATCATATGATTATTGGATTTTTAAAACAGCAGGCTATCTTCCATGGCCAGCAAATAAAATGCCAAAACTACCTTGTGATTGGCTATGTGAAACGTAGTAATAATTTTTTTTTATATTCATTTATAATATTTTCTAAAAAAGACAGATTCCAATAATATTTCTATAAAAAAATATTAAATTTTTATATATTATCGAATACATATGTTTTTATATATATGCGCGTGCACGCACAAATATTATAAAAATTTTGAATTGAATAATTATATATTTTAAAAAAATAATAAACTAAATAATAAACATATTATGTATTTAAATATTTAATAAATATAAATTTATTAATTATATAAAACTATTAAGATTTTAAGAATTTAAATAATTTAAATAAATGTCATAAATTTTAAATTTGTTCATGACTGATATTGAAACAATTCATTTATATTAAAAATTATAATGCAAATAATTTTTTTTATAAAATAATTTTCATATACAGAAAATAAAACTTGAATAAAATTGATGATATTATCAGAAGTTAATATACAATTAAAATATAATCCTTTTAATAAATAAAAAAAAAAACAATTTATTTTAATTTATAATTTATAATAATTGAAAATTTAATGCAATTAACTCAAAATGTGTGTTCATATAATATTATATTTATATATATAATACATATCAATGCATAATTTTAATATATTGTTTAAATATATTATAAAAATGTGATATTTTTTATTAAAAGTTATTATTTGTATTCAATATAATGTAATATAATAATATATAATAATACGAATTTTTTTATTGATTTATAGTCCCTTTATAATTGCATTTATATATTTTATACTACATTTTTATACTTATATTTATATATATTTATATATTATATTTTTAAAAAATTGTTTATTACTTCTGTATATTCTTTAATTTTTTCTTAATTTTTTTTAAATAATATAATATTCAGTTAAAATACATATATATATATATTAAAATGCTTAAAATTAATTATCAAATATATTATACATATAAATTTTTATTGATGAAAATCACTTTTACTGATTTTTCAGTATTTTTATTTTTTTTTTAATTTTTTTTAATTTCTTTTTTTAAAGTTTTAGTTTGTTTATTTTCTTTTTTTTTTTTATTTTTTTTATTTATTTTCTTGTCTTCAATTTCTTCACTCTTTAATTTATTTCCCAAAGTATTTATAGTAACTTGTCTATAATATAAATATAAAAAATGATATGAATAATGTTTTTATTATTATTTTATTTTTATGTATTATTATAAAAATAAATATAACAATATATACCTTATTTTTTCTTTATTATGTACACGTCTAAATGTAGGAATAGTTGATATCTTTTCTCTAGTAGGAGCTTTATGTTCAAGTTTTCGTTTTTCCTTTTTACTATGTTTTTTCATAGCTAACATATAATCAGGAACATTACATCCAGATTCTCGCATGATAGTAGCTATACTAAAATATTAAAAATATATTGCTATATATATTTTATCTTTATAATTTATATCTTAACATCATGGTTTAAATTAATATTTACCTTCTTAAATTTGTAGTATCTTGTTCAGTAAAAAAAGTAATTGCTTTTCCTTTATGTCCAGCTCTACCAGTACGACCTATTTTAAACAATATATGTTAAGAATTTTTAAATATTATTTTATATTATTAATGTAATTTTTTTTTTATTAAATTCAGAAATACATACCAATTCTATGAATATAAGAAATAGCAGATGATGGAAAATCATAATTGATAACAAGATTTATACCCTTAAAATCAATACCTCTTGCCATTAATTCTGTACATATTAAGACCCATATTTTTCCTTCTCTAAAACAACGAACTACATTGTCTCGCTATAAAAGAAAAAATTATATTTAATATATTATAATATATTATATATTATATTATTAATATATATATAATTATATTTAATATAAAATCATTTGGTTAATAAATTATTATTTATAAAAAAAATACCTGTGTTTGTGTTCTATCAGCATGAATTACATCAACATTAATTCCATCATATATAAGTTCATTAAATAATTCTTGTGCTCTTTCTTTGCTTTGTACAAATACCAGCACAGGTGGTAATATTCCCTTTATTGAATGCAATTAAGCATAATAATAGAATAAAATAAATTTCATAATATAATAACAAAGATATATAATATATAATATAATACCTTTTGAATAATATTTCTAAGAGCTACAAGTTTTCCTCTTTCTGCACCAACAAATAAAAGTTCTTGTTCTACCAAATCAGTTGCAGCATTTCTTTAAAAAATATAACATATAGTCAAGAAATATTTGTTTGCAGATAATATGATATTTTTTTGTAGATTTAAAAAAAATGATTTAAACCTATGTCCAACAGTAACTGTTATAAGACCTTTCAAATTACGTCGACACCATTTGGTTACTATAGGAGTATTAGTTGCACTAAACATTGCCTTATGTAATTTTTCACTTGTACATGATTTTGAAATTTTTTCAAATTGATCTCTGAAGCATCTTATTCCATCTTCAAACAATTTATCTACTTCATCCACAATTAGCCATTCAACACTAAAATTTAAATTTGTTATAATTTTGTTATAATTTTTATGTATTATATATTATGATTCTAATATAATTGAATCATTAAAATTTATAAATGATTAAATTATTACTTATTAAAAGAAATAGCTGGTGGATCTTGATTCAATAAATATATTATTCTTTTTGGAGTAGTGATTAATATATCTGTAATAAAAATAAAATTATATAATTATATATACTCTCATTATTTTAATATTTCATGTATTTTATACTAACCAAATTTTTGTGAACTTTTAGGTCCATATTTGTTTAATGCTTGATTTATTTTACTTATAATGTGAATTTTAAAATTATATCCCTCACTAAGACGTAAACATTCTCTATATGTTTGTTTTGCTAATTCTCTTGTTGGACTTAATATAACAGCTCTAAATCCTTTTTTTTCTGGTCCACCTAAATGATGAATTATAGGTAACAAAAATGCAGCTGTTTTTCCAGATCCTGTTGGAGCACAAGCTAATATTTGCCTGCCCTATTTTAATAAAGATTATAAAGAAATTAATAATTTTTTGCTGAAAGTATTGATAAAATAAAATTTTTAATAAATATTATATATAATGATTTATACTTATAACATACTTGTAACATAACAGGTATAGCTTGCATTTGAATTGGAGTAGGATATTGATAACCACAATTTATAATATTATTTATTAATTTTTTGGATATACCATAATCTCTTGATAATTCAATAAATTCTAAAACAGGTTTAGGTATTCTATTGCCTGTGACATTTATGTGATAATGATTACGATGTTGATTAATCTAAGAAAAAATTTAATTTATTAAAATTGTTATTTTTGAAACTAATTTTTAATAAAAAAAAAAAAACATTTAAAACCTTTTCTTGTGTTAATTTTAATTGTTTTTCTTCTGTTAAAGACACTTTGCACTTTTTATTTTGATTTTTGGAAACAGACATTCCATTAATTAACATTAGTTCATTAATATTTTCAGTTTTTTCCTCAATATCATTGTATTTTCTTTTCTTACATATTGCTGAATAATTTATATCATCAAAAGTTTTAATTATTTTTTTATCACTAATTACATTTTCAGGTTGCTTTTTAATAAGCTACAAGAAATAGAATGATTATCATATTAATAAAATTTATTTAAAATATATTTATATTTTTAAATATAATATTTTATTCTTGGAAATACCTGAAATCTTTCTGCATCAATTTGAAAACGTTTTTTATCAAATTTTATACCAGTAGAAAGTTTTCGAAAAAGTTCATATGCGTCCATTTTTCTATTTATATATTATTGATTATATTTAATATTATTGATTAATTATATTTTTGTATTCATAGATATTCTTGTATAAAAATATAATATAATATTTGGTACTACAAGAAATTGAAGATTACTTAAAAATACACATAAGAGATATAGACATAGTCTATATTTCTAACCTATATACTTACTTATATATACTTACTATTTCTATTTTATCTATATAGTTACCAAGTTGGTATTATTTAATAGTATTATTTATTTCGCGCAAAAATATTACCGCATTAACGTAACTTGATTACTTGTTCTATTTGTAAATATAATTTTAATATATAATCTTAATAATTTTGATACATTTGAAATATAATTTAAATTGTTTCTTAATTATGTAAATTTTAAAAGACAGAATGTATTTGGAAACTATTAAAGAATTTAATGTATAATATTAGAAAAGAAGAATTAAAACTTAGAAACAGAAATATTTTGTTTAACATAATATTTTATCAAGGACTTTGACCAATTGATTAAATTGATTAAATCATAATTGATTAAAAATCATAAATTTTGAAAATTAGTTTTTGTACGAAGTACAAAACTACACTTTTTTCTTACATATGCATATATATGAACAATTTATTTTTTATCGTTATTTACTAACGAAGGATTCGAGAATTGATCTAATAAAAATATGTTTGATACATATGATTTTTTCGATTGAGTTATCAGGATCAAAAACGGAAACTTTAAATTAGCAGACTCTTATTGACATCATAGTTTGATTTGTAAAAATATAAATATATATATTGCAAAAATGAAAATATAATCTTAAAATTTTAAAAAATCTTAAAATTTTAAATATAAATATTAAAAATATAATCTTAAAATTTTAAAAAATCGATCGTTTATTCGATAATAAAAATTTAAATTTTTCAAAAGAATACTTGAAATGCAGAATTAATCTGAATTAAAAAAATTTTTTTTCTTAGTCTCATTTTTTAATCTCAGCTTTTCGATTTCATTTTGTTTTTTGCAATCTTTTTGGATAATTTTAACTTAATGATGGACTGAATTCTGTTTTGATGATTTTTCTTTCGTATCTTAATTCACTCGACAAGCAAAAGTGAAAAAAATAATAGTAAGGATGGCGCGATGCACACGTGCATATAGTTTAGAGCGAAAGAGAAAGTGTGTTGAAAAGATAAAATAATTCTTAAAATTTAGGATCTTTTTAAAACACATGAATAGAGATAAAATAGAATATATCGTAAAAGATTTTTCAAGAATTATACATATTTTAACTAAAAATAATTAATTTGATTCTATTCATAATAAATTAATTTTAGAAATTTTTTGAGTGAAGTCTTTCAAATCTTTCTCTCTATTTGATCATTTATGGTTATTAATTAATTAAACAATATATTTATATTTGTTCAGTCAATTTTAAAAACTATTTTAATTTTTTATCTTCAAAATCAATTCATGCAATAGGTTATGATATTATTAAAATTAAATTCATGCGACAACATAACAACTCAATCAGTAATATGAACTACCAACATTAATATGTAAAACTGTTTGTTGATAGAAACAACTTCATCTATATTAATTTGATAAAAAGAATTGTATATTTATGATTAAGGTAAACAATAATCAACTTGATATTTCTATAAAAAAATACAAAATAATTAAAGAAATTTTTGTTTGAAATTTGTGCCAATAATATCATCAATAAATTATATGAATGAATGAATTGGAAATATGTATACCACTTTTTATCTATTTAAATAATATAAAATACATTCAGCAAAATTGTTTTCTAATGTTTATATTACTATTGAAGAAAATGTATATTGAAAAATACAAAGTAACAGTAAGTAGTAATGAATCCATAAAATAAATTTATTAAATAAATCAATTTCTAAGAGATTAAAATATATTATAAGAAAAAATTGTTATATTTTATTTTTTCATAATTGGTATTTTCAATTATATATGCTATACATTTTAATTATTAAATAATAATTAAGTAATATATTATGTTATAAGATAATATTTGATGTATGAAAATAAATATATA